GACTGTTAGTAAACTATAAGGTTAGGGTAATAAGTTGACGTACTTGTAAAGTTAGTCAGTACAAGAATGTCTAAAGTGGACCTTCGTAATAAATTGTCAACAAATAATTTGATTAAAAGTCAGATATTAGTTATTAAAATGGGTGATTGTTGTTTTCTTTGAGATAAAAAATTGCTATGTTGAATTTCCATGTGAAAAGACAAATACAGCAAAGCAAATTGAAGCATATTACCAAATCTGTGATTTACTCTTGTCAATTCTTTTTTTTGACAAAATATAACAAAAATCCAAGTGCCATCTGCATGTTGTAATACACAATTGTGTAAAGAGTTTGAAAAATTATTAATAAAAGCACAAAAAACACAATACCAGTAATATTTTCAGATAAAAAATGAGTGCCATGTTATAGTTTATCTGAATTGCTAAAACATGGTAAAATAAACATGGTTTATTGAAACCTTCACTCACTTTTTCACTCACAAAACCTTAAACACAAAACCAAATTTTCAAACCATATTCAGAGACTCTGACTCCAAAATCATACAATTGCTTCAAAGCTATTTAATCTGTGCTCAAAATCACACAATGCTTTCAGATCATACACACATCAGTCAGTATTCTAAACACTATACAGATCATTCATTAGACATCAAAAATGGAACAATTTTTCCAATTACGTACAAATGTAATGTATAGTAATGACAAATTACAGTGGTAAGGTGAATAAATTGTATACTGTATCCACTGCAAGTGTAGTATTGAATGTTGAATATAAGCCTATTGAATGAATCTCTGTATATTCAGCTCTTGCATACTGTAAAAATACAGTTACCCAAAAGCCAAAAAGGTATAAAACTCTAAATGAAAGCATGTTAGAGTAAAGTAACATGCACTCAGAAGAGTTGTGCAACTGCAGTATTACGGTCAGTGAGAGATTGATTCTTGATTCTGCTTCAGCATCACGTCTTCATGTTGGTCCGTCTTGAGGAGTTTCTCTACATCACACACACTGTCATTTCTGCAGGCGAAGGGGAAAACCCTAAAGCAGAGTCAGCCTTGACAACACTATAGGCTACTCACAATATAGTGAACAATAGAGTGCCGAAGTGATGACGTCACTTTGTAGGACAACTCGGAAGCTAGCGTCGCATGGGTTCCCTCAGTCGAAAAGCAATGCATTTTCCCCATAGACTTTTGGAAAATCGCCAAAAATAAGATCTGTGTTTAACAAAGAGTTGTGACCCTTACACGTTTTTTGTCTACCAAGATAATTACAAGTTAATCCAAAATGTATACATTTTGAAGCCTATATAAAGATTTTAAAAAACACAATCAAACACGATAAAGTTTAAAAAACCACAAGCAGGTTATAACTGTGTGTTCCATGTCATAGATCAAAATGTGAAAATATTTCAGGCGATTCCTTATTTCAGGCGATTTAGCAAAAACCCATTTAAAAATCCCATAGGCTTTAGAGCCAGGGAACCGTAGTGCTAAAATGCTAACTCACTTCCGCAACTTCGTAACTTCGGCACTCTATTTTGAGTCGTTGTGTGTAAACAATGACAACTGTGTTGCAGTTGTGTTTAACTTTCGCCTGCCTGTGTTTAGCATTTTGAAACATAAGTGCATAAAAGTGTGAAATGTGTTGTGAGTGAGAATGTGTTTAGAGTTTCGAAAAAAAGAGTACATGAGATTTGCAAACAGTGTTTTAACTATCTAAACTGGTTTAAAGGAGTAGTTCACTGTTTAAAAAAATTTTGCTGATAATTTACTCATGTCATCCAAGATATCCATGTCATTCTTTCTTCAGTCGAAAAGAAATTAGGGTTTTTTATGAAAACATTCCAGGATTTTTCTCCATATAATGGACATTAATGGTAACCAAACGGTTCAAGGTCCAAAAGTGTGTTTCAGTGCAAAAGGGCTTTAAACGATTCCAGATGTTGAATAAGGGTCTTACCAAACAAAACGATCGCTCATTTAAAGCCACACTGCGGAACTTTTTGGCCACTAGATGGTGCTTGACATGTAATTTTCACGTCCAGCGTCCCTAGAGGCCACAAGCTCCACAGCACTGTCGCAAATTAAAGTCAACAAACAGTCAACCGGTCAGCCTCCCGTGTCTTTAGATTGTGTGTGCTTGTGCTTTTACTGTCTATGGTGCTTGCAGTGTATGAGGCGGGCCGGGCAAGCTTGTCGCGCTTGATTCCCTTATAGCAGTCGGCTGATAGAGCGAGCGGGGTGATCCCCGTGGGGATTATCATGTCTGTGAGTGAATGTGGGCGCGGGACCGCGGACACATTCACTGCACTGAAAACACCGTCGGCCAGAGCTGACTGTAACGTTATGTGTTTTGGTTTATTTTTACAGAAACCGTGGGACATGTGGTGTGTAATGTTAGTGTTTGTGGGTACTACTGAGTCGTGGGGACTTTCACTACATTTAATGTAACCTTAACGTTATATTTGACATGAGCCGATTTTATTAGTGCGAGCCCTGCACTGAGGCGGGCTGTGTTTGTAGAAATGAACACTGGGCTGTGGGCATTTTATTACACTCATAACACCATCGGCTGTGGTCGAATACCAGAAAATACTACACTGCTTATATGAATTTATCTGGGTTACCTTAGAAACAGCATTTTTGTGCAGGCAAGCGTCCGCATCGGTCGAGCACTCTTTCTCCTCCGTTAGCTCACGCTAGCGAGCAAAGCGAAAGCTGGACCAATGTGTTAATCGTAGTCCTGGCTTTTAATTTGTCACTCTCCCCTTTTCTTTTTTAGTTTCCTCTGATAAAACCGTTGCCTTCTTCCTTGTAGCTGTTGTTCGGCATGACGAAAACATATAGACGGCAATCAAACGCGAGTTGAGCGCTAACGTTAGATTCTGAGGAAGTTGTGAGTGGTGGGGGAAGTGACGTATGCCGCAAAGCGGTCGAATTTTGTAGTTCTTTTTGTGCTCGGGTTCCTACCCGAAACCCGAAGTTACAAAGTGCAAGTAAAAGCGATACAGACACCTTCAGGAGACGGCAGACGCGTCATTCAACCTATTGCAAGTCGATCTACCATCTCAATGGGTTTTGGTAATATATTATAAAGGTTGAAGAGTTCCACGGTGTGGCTTTAAAAAAAAAAAAGTTTAAATTTTATAAGCTCAAATGGTCACCTTGCTCTGTTCTGTGATGCACGTTCGTGAACTCGTTCATCAAAATGAACAAATCTTCAAGTCAATTGGTTCATTCAACGAATGAATTGAACGAGTTGACTCTGGAAAAGATTCATTACAGTTTGTACTGAAACTGTCTTTTGGACCTTGAACCGTTTCCTATTGAAGTCCATTATATGGAGAAAAATCCTGGAATGTTTTCATCCTGTGTGCTAAGTCCTCTTCTTTATTCACTGTACACATATCATTGCAAACCATTACACTCGTCTAACCTCATTATCAAGTACTCTGATGAGGTGACAGGAGGTACAATGGTGTCAGGATAACAATTTGTCACTAAATGTGGCAAAAACGTAAGAGCTGGTGGTGGACTTCAGGAAGAAGAAAAGAGCTGATCTGACTCGATGACTTTGATGATTCAGGGGAATGCTGTGGAAAGGGTGAGCAGTTTTAAGTTCCTTGGGATCAACATCACCAATAACCTCACCTGGGACCTACACACTACAGGAATAGTGGGGAAGGCCCAGCAACGCCTGTTCCATCTTAGGCGTCTGAGGAAATTTGGAATGGCCCCCAATGTTCTCTGTGCATTCTATCGGGGCACAATCGAGAGTGTCCTCACAGGGGCCATCACCTCCTGGTATGGCAGCTGCACTAAAACAGCCGCAGAGCAATACAAAGAGTGGTCAAAACTGCTTAGAAAATATGCGGCTGTGAGCTTACATCTATAGCAGACCTGTACCAGGAGAGGTGCAAGAAGGAGGCCCAAAAGATTGTCAAGGACCCCAGTCACCCCAACAGTAACCTTTTCCAGCGGCTTCCCTCTGGCAAACGCTACTGCAGTTTGAAAGCAAAAACTTGTAGACTCATTTTTTCATCAAGCTATTAGGCTTCTTAACAGTAGATAGACCTTATTTATTTTGCCACAGTAATGTACTGTGTTTTTAATCATTGTGAGCAGTTTTTTAAATTTACAGTAAATTTATTGTTGTTAGTGATGGTGTGTGAGTGTGTGCGTGCGTGTGTGTGTGTCTGTGTGTGTTCTTAACTTATGGATATAGGCACTTAAGTTGCTGCTGGCCGGGAGGGGAGGGGAGACCTTGCTCTTGCATTGTATGTAAATATGATATGAGATGCAACTTCAATAAAACTAAACTAAACTATCAAAAACCTTAATTTCTTTTCGACTGAAGAAAGAATGACATGGATATCTTGGATGACATGGGGGTGATTAAATTATCAGCAAAAAATTTTTTTTAAAAGTGAACTACTCCTTTAATATTTTACAGAAACAAAAAGATGAGTGTGAAAACAAAAACAGTGATTTATTTGACGAATTGGTTTAGGCTATTGAGAATTTTTTTCAGAGAATGAGGTTTAGTGTTTAAGTAATTTAGAAAAACTGTAATCCACAAAAGAAGAAAATTTCTCTTTTTCCAAGTTTGTTTAAATACTTAAACTTTAGACTGCAAATTTAGGACTAAATTTGAGAGCAAATTGTATCTGAAAAATAGCCTTTAAAAGAATTAACTACTCAGTTTAAAGCTCATTCACACTGAACTTTGATCAAGGAAAGAGGGAGAGATGTGGTTTATGAGAGAGTGAGAGACTTGGTTACATTCTAACTCTGAGAGAGAGAGAGAGAGAGAGAGAGAGAGAGAGAGAGAGAGAGAGAGAGAGAGAGAGAGAGAGAGAGAGAGAGAGAGAGAGATGTCCAGGCACCTTGAGCAGCTTGAGCATTGTGATTGGTTTACTGTGTGAAGCCCGGCCCCAGTCCCAGGCTCCTGTGAGTCCCTCCAGCACAGGCTGAGACCGGTTCTGTATATGAGTGTGTGAGTTAGACTGGACCTGTGAGGTTAACATGCTGCTGCTTATGTTCCTCATCCTTCATCTTTATCTACAGGTGCTCGTCACTGCATCTTCATCCTCCTCTGAGGAAGATGGGAGCAGCGAGAGGGATGATGGGGAACACAGTAAAGGTGAGTAAATCAGCATTTGAGTGTAAAATCAGTTATGCATTCATCATTGTCATTGTGTGTCATCTAAATTCTCCTGATCTATATTTAAGTTTGTTCATTTTCCTGGTTTTCTCCGGCTTTTTATTGCAAAGTCAGGGAAGTAAATAAAAACGAAGAGCTAAGACATGCATGTCAATGAAATGCTTGATCATAGTCAGGTTGATTGCAGAAAAATGTGGTATTTAAAGCCACAGAAGTAGCAATTATTACTGAGAAAACCTGTTATGCGAAATTAGCAAAAACCACAAATTATGAAAGTGAGATAATGAATGTTTTCTCCTGCTGACTTCATCATGACTGTTGGCTTTGGGTGGTTACTGGCTTTAATCTCTCTGATTTTACATAACAGGTGCATTCTGGGACATAGACTGATATAAAATGTCACCAATGAGTAATTATCACCTCAACACCAGTATGAACATATGATATATTTTTTTTTTAGCAGATTTGATGTCAGTTGTATCTGGAGATTTTTATTACTTTGTTAACCAGCGATTATCAAATGAAGGGTGTGTGTTTACTATGGTATGTTCCCAGTTAATGTTTGATTGTTGTTAGCGTATTGTGAAATAGCTGATGAAGCAAGGTGTCATTGATAATGGAAAAATGAAAAGTGATAATTCATGACAAGAGGAAAGTCCTTCTACCATGATCACATTGATACAGTAAGTCAGAACACTGCAAATGTTTAAAGTCCTACAGAAAACAAACAAAGATGCAGTAATGAATGAAGAGAGAAGATGTCTAAAGCTAACCTTTCCTGGTGTGAGTTTTGTGAGTGTCAGTGTTAGACATTCATCACATATTCCTGGATGGTTTGTGGTTTCTTGTGGTTGGAGAGCGTTGGGTCTACGTGCCTCTCAGAGCGTCCAGCGTCTCCAACTCATCGCTTCCCATACACACATTCTGACACAAACCTGACAAACTGGAACAATCCAAAATAAGTAGGATATTTTTGTGTTTGATCCTGTTTAAAAGTGTCTAACTGCTGGATAATCCCTGGAAGGATAGGTGTGCGTAAACATGTGCGTGAGAAAGAATGTGTAATGTGTGGTGGTCACATGAGTGAAATCTCCACTTTATTAAATCTGCGTCAGTGGTCCTGGAGGCAGTCAGGAATTAAGAAGATTCCACATGAATAATAAAGAACTTAAAAAAATCACAATTACAATTACAATTACAAAGATTTTTGAATTTTGATTTCATGGTGACTTTAATGTGCCAGTTTCAAAATGAATGACAGCAAATGGCATATATTTAATGCGATCATGCGAGCGTGATGTTGTTCTGAACATCAGCATCACGTCGGATGGTTGTTTGTGTTGTGTGTTTATTGCGCACATAGCCGCGGATTTGCCTTTTAAGTAAAGCTCACAGGAGTTTGATCTAGTGCTGACCACAAACAATGACCACAAAACACACGGCACATAAAGTCATCCTTATGACTTACTCTATGATGAGCAATCTTTCACACTGACTCAGTGAAACACGGCCATGCGTGTTCTGACACCTCTGCATCTGCAGAAAGTGCATCAGATGTTTGAGACGCGCGGTGTGGCCTCTTCTTGCTTTTGCCTGAGCGTTGAATTTGGTTAATGCGTATCAGGTTCAGCGGTCATCTTAGCATCAGGCGTCTGTCCTGGAGCACATAATGCTCACATTGACTGTGCTGAATGAAGGAGGGATTGTGTGTGTGTGCTGATGTGTGTGAATAAGGAAAAGATACTGTCTTTCTCAGTCCTGCTCAGAATGACCAAACCTGTTCTCACAGTTTTTCTTCTACCTGAGCCTGGATTGCTGAAATAATAGTCTAAGGACTACTCATTTCTAGTAGTGCATTAGTATATTACAGTTATAGCTGATATTATTACTGTTTCTCAAAGTAATTATATACACTAAAAGTGTGTTGAAAATTTGGAAACACTCAGTCATTAGAGGTAAAAGCAGCAAAACGAGTTCTTCCGAGTCGTCGACTTCATGTATTTGCAGTGACCAAAGTTATTAGAGCTTTATTAACGGTTATCAAAAGATTTTTGATTGTATTTCAAGATGAACATTTACTGGACTGAAGCAACTCAGGTTTACTTGATTGTCCAAGAAACATTTTATAGAAAAATCAAGAGCAAAAATATGATCATCAGGCTTTTGATAAAGGTTTATTTGTTCATCTCTCAATCATCATTGGATTGCATTGTTTTATTTGTTTCAAAATTAGAGCTTAGATTATTAAACTAAGCATTTAAATATCATCTTACTTAGACATTGATATTTATATGCATTTAGTATCGGCTACTCGGCTACACTGTTATAAAGATATTATTGATGTCCATTACAAGCATCAGAATTTTCTTACTTTAGTTTCACACATCTCATCACTTTAATATTTAGTATTTAGAATTTAATTCATGAATTTACGTACGTGTTTTTCATCTAAACTCTGCTCTGTTGCAGGATATTATTTGTGTTGTGCTAGTAGTGCTACTATGACTTATCTTAAGTGATGAAAAATATGTGCAAAACTGATTACTAAAAATTACTAAATAAGACAAAAAATATTTCACACGCATGCACACACAAACATTTTTAACAGTCAAGCTTTGCAAGAAAGTCTTTTTTTCCTGACATAATCTCTTTCCATTCTTCACAGGTTCTTCTCATCAGCACCAGTGGGGTTACCATGGTAAATATATATATATATATATATATATACTATATGCCCACAATAACTTTTTTCCTTTCCTTTTCCTTTAAATAACTTTTTCCTTATGATTTTACTGAATTGCAAACTTACTAGCAGACAGTCTTACTAGTTAAAGTACTTTAATGAGTCATGTCCTAGTAACACTGTAGTATAATAGACAGTGAGTGAAGGGAATCGTAATTCATATTATCTGGTTGGTAACACTTTACGGTAAGGATACTCTATCATGAATTCATGTATAAATTCATGCATAAATTATGCATTCATTCGTGCATTAATACATGCCACACACACAATGAAGTCATTGATAGATATGCTTAGTTAATGTTACTGTTATTTTAATGTTAATGCTACTGTATTTAAATGTCAACAGAATTTGTGTGCTGTGAGCTGTGATTGGTCTATTTTGGGGTCTGTCCAATGCAGAAGTCATCATTAACTATATCAATATCTATCAATGACTTCATTGTGTGTGTGGCCCCTCGATGGAAACACTGATGAACAATGTGCTATTAGGTGGCATAACTGTGAATGAAGAAAACATAATGATCATGGGTAATAAATCATAATTCATGATGTGCTCATCTTAGTTAATGTTTTAATTACGGTGTTGGTCATCCATGAAGTTATGAATGAAAAACGTGGAACTCATGTTAGTTCCTGATGATTAACGAGATATTAATGCATGAATTAATGCATAATTCATGTAACCTTACTGTAAAGTGTTACCATTTAGTTTAGAAATTTTGAAACACTTACAGTATTTCGTTAAAAGACTAGATTTTTTTGTGCAAGTCATTTAATAACATATGAATGTAATTACAATCAAATCAGGTCAACATGAAATCTTGCTAATAGACTGGCCATGGGATGTGTCCCTCTGTCCTGCTGAAGACGTGTCCTTGTTCACGCTGCAACACATTAGTTTGAAATGACAAAACATCTGTAAAAAATGTCATGTTATGTTGTCAGAAACACAGTAAACTGTGTCCTTTCACAATCTGTGTTTCGATCATGAGCATATGTTTCCATACACCGAAGCGTTTCAGGTAATGGTGTCCTGCATGTGTGTTGAATGTGAGCACTATATGCGGTATACGTGAGGTGTTCCAGATAAAGCTTGCAGTACTCACGTTCTAAACAATATATTATGCCAATACTCTTTGCTGCTTTTATTCATGTTTCTTTGTCCCTTGTCAGTTTCATATGAACTGCTTGTTTATAGAGCACTTCATGGGCCTCGTCACCTGTGTCACTCATAAAGCGAACCAAGGAGCAATTTTCCATAGTTAGTGTTTTGTAGCCTAAATGAACCACATGAATGAGAACCTTAATTCACTTCAGTTTTAACATTTCCTGATAATGTACTATTCCCCACGCCATCCAAGAAGTTCATGTCTTTGTTTCTGAGGTCGAAAAGAACTGAAGGTTTTTGAGGAAAACAGTGAGTTTTGAGGTCCAAATGTGAGTTTCAGTGCAAAGTCTCTAGACCAACCAGTGGCCATTTTCTAAACAAATAAACATTTGTATACTTTTTAACCATAAATGCTAATCTTAGCAAAGAAATTCAACTGTGTCCTGAAGAAGATTTATATATGCTAGTGCTTTTTTGTATTTAGTCCAATACATTTGAAGAATACTGCTATTTGTCACCAGGCTGTGAACTTTTGAATAAAGTGATATTGTTCAGGCTGTTATTAATGATTTTCACTGTCTCAGATCAGGAACGATGGCTATCTGCATTTGAGCACTGCAGGGGAAAGTCTCAGTCTCCAATCAACATAGACACTCGTAAGGTTTTCTATGAGCCCAGACTCCCTGCCATTCAGCTGGAGGGTTATGATCTCACCGGCTCGCCCGCTCTCACACTCTTCAACAACGGACACACACGTAAGTCAAGGCCAAACGCAAGATTTCCAGCACGGATGAATGTAGCGTCTGCACACCAGAACAAAACATCTCTGGAATTACAAAAGTGTTATAAGTAAATTGCTGTTTAACAAACAAAAAGTTGCAATATTGTGTTTAAAGTTTAGGACACTTAATATACTGTAAGTTATTTTGTGTATTTTTGCTTCAACAAAACTTTAAAATTAAGTCAAAGCAATTGTTACATCTCCGAGCAACACGCAATAGCAGTGTTTCGTTTCCAAATGAATCAGTTTTTGAAAACACAGTTGAGTGAATGTTTCAATGACTGTCACATGTTTCGGTCCTGAATCAGTGTTGATCAAATTTGTTGAGTGTAGGATTTAGGCTGAATGCCAATTTTCTGTCTTACCCTTTTCCCCTTCGTCTTACCCCTAGCCCTTGTCCCTTGAAACCGAGTGGTAAGCGCTAGTGCAAACATATCCCTATAAAATGAGACACCACTCGGTTACGTCATCTTGCATCATCCTTAACTGCCGTCTGTGTCACCCGGGGCAACAAGTGTTGATCACAAACTTCTCGAAACTTTCAAGATGCCGTCAAAATGTCCGGGATTGGGCTTTTGCTTTCCGTCTTCACTATTCAGTATGTTTACATGCACAAGGTGTTGAAGGAATCTGAATGTATTGAAATGTGGGATCTTGATCTTGAAAGGTGGGACTGATTGTGCAAATCAGAAATGTAACGTTAGCATAGCCTAGCGTAGCAAAGTAGCGATTTTTAAAAACTTAAAAACGTTTCAATAAACAACATAGTTGCAAATATATATGTACATAATTGTGTAGAGCTAAAAAAAACAAGACGGTCATATTTTTTTTATCAATCATTTAAGCGAAAAAACTTGTGCATTTCTTACCCCTTGGTTTCAAGTAAGCTCGTGAAAATTCTTGGTCTTAAGGGCTATATACCCCTTCACCTTACCCCTACCCCTAGATCAAAATGAGAATTGGGATAGCCCTTCCTCTCACGTGAACACGCAAAACTAAGGGGAAGGGGTAAGACAGAGAATTGGGATTCAGCCTTAGTCTTAATAAATTCACTCATAAACAAGGTCACTTGTTGCCAGTTTAATATTTTTACCGCTAGAGGACCAAAAGTGTAAAGTTTAAAAGAGTAGCTTTAAATACAAAATTATTAATTTTGACTTAATTTTACTTTATTTATTGACCAATTGTTTTGCTGTTGATTTTGAAAGATTAAATTTCACCAAATAAAAAGCTGTCAAATGGGGATAATTCAAAAAAAGTCCCTTGGAATTATTTTATGATACGTTCAAGCAATCAAGCAATCTTTTATTTAATATATATATATATATATATATATATATATATATATTATAAAAAAAATGTCCTTTTCATTTAATTTTGTGTTCAAAAAGGAAAGTGAACAATGATATGAAGTGTAACACTTTTGCCCTCGGTTGAAACCAGACTATTCTTCTGATTTGTTTCACTCTTTCTATTGTTCCGGTGTGAAAGGTCCACCGTTTGGCTGGCATATGTTGATCATTGTACTAAACCTGAAGTGCATGTTTGCTGTTCTCCTGTCAGTGCAGCTGAGCCTGCCGAGCAGCATGCGCATCGTGACGGGCTTTGACCATGTGTACGTCGCAGCCCAGCTTCACTTTCACTGGGGAACTACAGCGGACCCTGGCTCAGAGCACACCGTGGATAAAGTACATTTCCCTGCTGAGGTGGGCAGAGATGGAGGCCGTTTATAAAACTAGAGCCATGCAGTCTTTTCTGGAAAACGCATTAAAATTCACGCCTTAAAATTGCAGGATTGTCTTTTATCTTGGAACATGATCTCTAAACGATAAAAGGTAATGACCTTTTATCGTTTAGAGATCATGTTCAAAGATCAAAGACAAAGTTGAAGTGGCTAATGTAAGGCAACAGGCAATAAGAGCAAATATCATGGCATTCCCAAACTGATCAAACCAGAAACCATAACTATTGAACGAGGTGACGATAAGATACGAATTCATATGATGTGATCCGTAAGAAAATTTGTTTTTTTTTTTCTTCATAAATGTAAGCATGAAGCTCCAGCCCTATAACCATCAATGAGCTGTATGTAGATCATGCAAAAACATGCAAATGGGAAGATGAATTTGTGTGGATTAGCCATCAACTCACCAAAACTCAAAACAGTTATGAACTGCCATGAGATTGTGCCCACTGTGTATTGTTTTGTGTTTTAAATATGTAGCCTATATATTTGTTCAACAATTTTTACAACTTGTTTGCTGTTTTAGAATAAAATGTTTTACATTTCATTTTTGAATAAAAAGTTAGGAAAATAAGTTGATGCAGATTGGTGTAAAACTAATTTTGATCAAGTAATTTTGATTAACAAATTAAATGCATGTACAAAATCTAAACTGAATTCCATATTTTCTATAGTTTTCAAACCAGCATACTTACAGGTACAGGCCATACATCTAGCAAATGCATTCTTTTGCCTGGAGTTTGAAATTTTGTTTAAAATGTTAAAAAACAAAACAAAACACTGACTGGCAGAAAAATTTTCCACATCTCCCCTTCATCTCTAGCCTGGGAAAATCCAGACAACTTCCGGCAAATTTAGATTTGCTCTGAAAGTTACAACTGAGAATGGTCTGGTTTTAACCAGGCTACTTCATCTCAGCTTTCTTTAACAAACGATTCCATCATTAAGTCAATTTTTCCCTAAGAGTCAACAATGAAAAAGTCTGCAGATTCTTTCTTTCCTAATCATAAGTGATTACAAACATTGCAAATAATGTGTAACATATTGCAAAATACTATGTTACGACAATTTCCCCATTTCCTCATTTCCTCAGATCCACGTGGTTCATTATAACTCCAAATATGCAAATCTGATCGAGGCTGCTAGTAAAGCTGATGGATTGGCAGTGTTAGGAGGATTTATAGGTGTAAGTCTTTTGACCAAAATTCTTTCTGGCTACAGTAAAGTTTTCTAAGCAGCAGAATGGGGTTTTATTGATACCAATAACATCTTTGCAATGCGTTTGTTAATATTTTCTTTTGACTTTTTCCTCAACAGATTGGCCTGCATGAAAATGACAACTATGAAAAGATCCTGTCTGCTTTAAAAGACATCAGCAAAGAGGGTAAGAACTGGAACTAATGCCAGATTTACAATGAAAATCTGTCATAGAAAATATTCTGGACTGTTTAATGCTGATCAGAAGAGGCACAAATCACACTTAAACTACAAAGGTATTCAGAGCAGGCATTTAGAGCACTTTTGGAGTCCTTAACATGCTCAAAAAACAGGTAAAACTGCACACACATTGGCTCTGCAGCGCACCCTCTAGTATTGATTATTTTGAGTCAAAGTTATAGCGGCACCGCCACTTTCTGAATGCTTTGAAATCACCCTCTTATTTTTTAACCTCTGTCAGAGTAAAGTCCAGACACAGCAGATGTACAGCATTGAAAGGATTCCTGATATCTTGAATTATGTGTCGAACTTTATTATTTTTGCGTGTTTTTGAGACTCTTAGCGTTCTTCAAATTTCATGAAACTTGACACAGAGTTGTCAGCCTGTAGACATGGACAAAGCCTTAAAAACAGGCATGTTGGAGGCACTCAGTAGCGCCACCTTTTGACTAAAGTTAATTTTACCAATAGTCGCCAAACTCGGTACATACTGTATATTGTTTTCAACAAGTCAGACAACTTTCTAATTTACAGTCATTATCTCTGACCAACTGGAAGTCAGATATCCTGTACATTTTATAATGTGTATTTTGAATGACTGCTCCGAAAGGCTTCACACAATTCACACCAAACTTTCTCAACATGATGCCAGTATTGCAAACAGTAATTTCCTCTAAATAATAAATGAAACACCATTTATTTATATATAAAAAAATACAAATAGAAAGTAAAAAACACATTTTATTATTTTTTATATCCAATACTGTTTATTATTACTGCTTGATATGGAGGTTAAAAATATGCAGATTACATGCCATTTGGTTAAAATAAATAAATCAAATCAAATGTGATACTTATTAAGGTCTATTTATAAACAGGGTTGTTTGGATATATATTTAGACATTATCAAAGACTGCTTTCTGTTACAGCTTAGATTATATTTATTTTTAAAATTTAGTTGGATTTTGTGGCTCAACTATAGCCTGGCAAGCCAGACCTACATCAAGATTTTAGGTCTGGGAATTCACAATTGGCATACCTCAGTCCGAGGGGCGGGATAAATGGTTGTCTTCAATATCCCTCTGCACGCAATAGGTTAGCGCTACAACCAACAAGTGAAATGAACGGCTGTGGCTGAGTGAGTCCCATGCATTTTCCCACCAGCGGAGCTAGTTGATATATTACACTTTTTCCGTATCCGTTCATCAAAACTTCGAACATATCTTTTTTAAGAATGACTCCAAGTCGTCCAGAGTCGCGTGCCAAAGCCGATTCGAAAGACAGCAGCATCTTGTTTGTTTTCAAGTAGCAGGGAAATCACCTATGGAAAATCACGGCACAGAACCGTCACAACTCTGCTGTCATTGTGTTAAGCCCGCCCACCAACTCTATAAACAATGTGATTGGCCTGACCAGAGTTTGGTTTACTTCGAAAGCCAACGGAGAATTGCTAGACCACAATGGGCTGCAAAATCATTTTTGCTGCCACTAGGGTGCGTCTAGATTTCTAGGCTAGCTCAACTAGCCAGTCTCCAACTGATCTGTGTGTGTGTGTGTGTATCTGACCAGCCTTAACTCGACTGTGTGAAGATGCTTTAATATCTGTCCACTAAAAAAAGCATAGCTGATGTTTCTGAACCAAGTGGAGATGTCTTATCGTCTAACCTGTTCTAATGGTCTTTTTGTCAGAGTCAAACACTGAGATTCCTGGTTTTAATGTGCGCCATCTTCTGCCAAACAGCCTGGAGGGGTTTTACAGGTACGCCGGGTCCCTGACGACCCCTCCCTGCTTTCAAACGGTCAGCTGGACTCTGTTCAATGACTCGATCAGAGTGTCAAGAAGACAGGTCAGGCTGTCTCACAACCTCATCTTCAACCTGGTCCGAAAAACATGTACATTTATATGGCATTATCTTGCTTAACTCACTGCGTTCTTCTTTCTTCTGCTAGCTAGCGGCATTGGAGGACTCGCTGAAGACTGAACACAACAAGCTTCTGTCCAAAAACTTCAGAGCGCCACAACTTCTGCACGGGAGAAAAGTGCTGACATCTTTCCGCACGGCATCCACTACGGGAAGTATGTACATTAGGTCTCTTTTAGATCTGTGTAACATTAAAATTGTAGAATAGTCTAATATAAATGCGACTGATTATTAGCACGTGTTAATCGCCAGTGGGTGAGCAGTTCTTAAGACACTTAACGGCTATATGTTTATGCAACTGCTTTCTTCACAACTTTCAGTGGCCCCTGGAAGAGTATCATCTTGGTTGCCTTGCTCTGTTCTGTTATGCACGTTTGTGACTCTCCTGTTCACAAACTGAATATTTTTTCCCGAGTCAATTCGTTCATTTTGTTCCTTGAATGAACCAAATGACTCAAAAAAAAGATTTGTTCATTTTGATGAACGAGTTCGAACAGGAGAGTCACGAACGCATATCACAGAACAGAGCAAGGTGAGCATTTGAGCTTATAAAACTTTGTTATCATTATTTGTTTTAAATGAGCGATCGTTTCGGCCTCATCTGCCTTTTTCCACAACTTCTTCGTTAAAGCTAACCTTTGCTACCGTTAGCAGAGGCTGAGCGTAGGTGGTAGAGGGCAGCAATTCTTTTAAAAAGCTCTTTTAAAAAAAGCTATTTAGATATTTTTAATAGCAGGCGCTTCTTTCTCTTCATTTTCCTTTTTTTTTTCTCTTTGCCGCCCTGCTGGGCTTTTAAAAAAAATTCTGATTGGATGATTTTCAAGTTCAAGGCCAAGCCTTGTGAATACTATTTTTGTGTAGCGCACAACAACAAAAAAACTCCGATCACTGAGGGCCCCTCTCTGCGCAAGGGCCCCTGAGCACGTGCCCAGATTATCTATATGGTAGATCCGGCCCTAACTAGAAACCCTAAAGCCAGTAGATAAGAAATCATGCAACATACATTGTGCTGTATTTGGCTGATAACACATATGATGCGTAATTCACATTTATCAGTGTATGTAGATTAAGTGTTGCTTTCCACAGAAGCCAGAGAAGCTCCACGGCTTGAAACACACGGCAGCGGTGTAATGAAAACTAGTGGCGCCAAATGTAAGAATCTCTCATTTACTGTAATGTGTAATGCAAACCTGACTACAAGTGGACTGGAGACAATGTGATGTGTGTTGACAGGGCACATCCTGGCCATAACGTTTGGGGTTCTCTTCGCCGTCACATTGCTGGTCTTCTCCATGTACACATATCGACAGAAGAAAAAGTACTCAAAGTATGTTCATGCCCGTCTTATTCATCACCTCTTGATTTAAGACAGCTTGTGTTTGTAACTTTTACTGCTCTCCGATTTTTGGACTTCACATGCTTCTCTCTCTGTCTCTCTCTACAGGTTTAAAAAAGACTCCAAGCAAAATGTTATTTATAAACCAGCAGCCAAAGACACAGATCCAACCTCTGTTACCGTAACATGAGCCACGGTTATTCTGAAACTTTTGTCTTGTTTGTTTGTTTGAGGGACGAGTCTTGAAAGTGAGATTTTGGAATGAATTTTCCAAACAAAATATGGTTTGCAAACTAGTAGAAGTGATCAATCTTATTATGTTGTGTAGTTGTATGTTCTGGTATGTTGTGTCACTTTATGTGTTAACATACATTCTTAAAATAAAGGTTCCAAAAGGGGTTTTCACAGTCAAAGAAGAACTAATAGAATGGAAATATTCCATGGATGATGAAGGTTCTTTATTGAACTACAGATGCCAATAAAGAACCTTCATTTTAAGAATGTAAAGGTGTCTAATATTGAAGTTTGTAAAACTATTTTAGCTTTTTCTTCCAAAATTATTCAGATCATAATATCAAGTAATATTTCATTCATCCACCCACAAAATGTATTGTGATATTTTAAGTTTCTAAAATTAGTTCTGAAAAACTCCCAGCCTACATTCCCACAACCCAGACAGTGACGACTGCCTTCTGAGAGTGGACCACAAACATGATTCACTCATTTTATGCTGACGATTTCCACACAGTCTTAATGTGAAGCTGTGTGACGAATCCTGTAAGCACCGGTATTGCTTAAGGTGATTAAACTTTGAAATCGGAAAGCTCTTACTGTTTCTCATTTAAAGTCCATGAGTTCCATTATGTTAAATGTATAGAAAGTTATGCCTGGTCATATAAAGGATTGTGTGTGTTTCAACACAACTCTGGTGAAGAGTAAAGAATTTTGCAATCTAAAGCACTAGGGAGGTCACAGGGTCAGTTACACATTGACAGAAGGGCAGAGGTCACATGACCCTGAGAGCCTAACGTGTCAAAGCAGCAAATATCAGTAACACTTTAATGCAGCAGCTACCATGAAACAGCAGTGCTTTGCATTTACTAATCTTGGTTAATGTAATTTCTACATAAACAGAGTTGCCAAAAGTGATGTCCGGCAGGGATAGTTGCTCTTAATTATCCTAAAAGCTTGGTTAAGATATATATATATAAGAACATAAGAACTAGAACTTATATATAAGAACTTAACCAAGTTTAGTTTAGTGTATATATATATCTTATATTATATATATATATATATATATATATATATATATAAGATATAAAATACGAGGAACACTAAAGTTAAGTTCAAGGTTAGGTTAAGTTTAAGTTCAAAAAGCCAAACTACAACACAAAAGCTTACTGGAAAGAGAAAAAAAAACATCCATTGACTACAACATAATAAGTTATCAATATTACTAAGTTAATAAGTTAAATCAATATTTAGTTGTTTCCGTTGTTTTTGCTGACAAAATTTTGCTGAATAATTTGTCATGTTTCATTAGTGTTTTCATATATAAAACTATTGACTTACAAAATCTTTAATATTGACATTTATCATATTTGAATAAGTTGTATTTTTTCCAAGAAAGACATCACTTTGGCCACTTCTGTACATTTGTAACATTTTAGGAATGAACATGAAATTAATAAAATATTTAAACATTAACAATAAATTAGATTTACGCCGTGTGCGGTCATGTTACCGGAGGCATACACTAATGTTAATGAATTGAAGTAAAGTGTCACCCAAACACAGTGTAACACCACACACCATAAATGTGCATCATATCTACATGAGTACATATTTCACTTCCCAAAAAATAACTGAGACTCCATGAAATGATTAACAGGGTCATTTTTAATCTTTTTGTATTTTTATAACCAATCAATCAACCATTCTGATTCCCTGTTTGGCACATCATATTCTTAGAAACATTATAAAGCAGCATTAAAATGTTACATAATTACAAGAAGTCCTTTTGTAATTGAAATTCAGGAAAGCACCGAGTTATTGTGTCTCAATATACAGAACAGAGCACGAAGAGAGATGCATCTGCACAGGTCTGAACAGACACGCACACACACACACACACACAGAGGATGACTACAGAAAGTAATACACACAGTGAGTGTTGGTTCCAGGAGTCCAGCATCCAGAAAAACACACTGAGCGCCATGTGTGTGTGTCTAATACTGTGATGATGTTAGAGTGCTGGGTTAGGAATTAAAGCTGTGCGTGAGTCTCTGAGATGACGAGTGTGAGACCTTCATCCAAATGAACAGGAAAGACCCGGGAATATCCAGACACTGCTTCCCGCCCATGAGTGTGAAGGTTGCATTCAATTGTCAGAAATAGATTGAAAATGAGGTTTAGCTACAAACAAATGGCGGTTACACTTTATTTTAGCGTGTCCTCGTCACTGTAGGTACTGAGTAATAATACTTAACATGTTCTTACTATAGGGTTAGTTGTGTGTACTTATGCATAATTTACTATCGTTGATTACTATGCAATGTGTGTAACAAGGACACGGTAAAATATAATGTTATCCAAATGACTTATTCAAGATTGATGAAAAATGATGTGGTCCGTGTTTAAGGAAACTATACGGGTAAGGTTAGGGACAGAGTTAGTACTTAGTTATTGTAATTACGGTAACACTTTACAACAAGGTTCATTAGTTGACTACCTAGTTAACATGAACTAAGAATGAACAATACTTCTATTATTGTTTTTTTTTTAAATAATCTTAGTTAATATTAGCTTCAACATTTACTAATACATTATTAAAATCAAAGGCTGTATTTGTTAACATTACTTAATGCACTGTGAACTAACAATGAACAGCTGGATTTTACAAATATGAATAAATACTGTAACAAGAGTATTGCTCATTGTTAGTTCCTTCATTAGTAACTAATGAAGCTTATTGTAAATGCTAGTGTAATTACTGTATGTACATGGGGAGCAGAATTGTAAAATGAAGTGCTGACGGATTTGGTTGAGGGTTGGTTGTATTCAAACACCACCAGAACGACTTTAGAAAATGATGATAGGCATCGATCTGTTCAAAAACTGCATAATTACACAGCGACATTTGTTTAGTTTGAGAACGGTTTAAAAGTTAAATATTCTTGTGCATTCATTTATCACGAAGAACGTGTTCCAGAATGTACAGTGCAAATATGAAAAGCCTTCAATGCCAATCAATGGAAATGATCTTGACTAATACTAATAATGATGATACGAGTGAAAGAGGAGCTGTTTCGACCACTTCTAACAGTGGCTCTGCAATAAGGCTTCATTCAAAATGTAAAGGACATCACTTGAGAAAACTCAAAACCACAAACATTCACAAGAAGAGCCAGAGAATGTTGCGTTTAAAACAAAATAATATTAAAGATCAGTCTGATTGATTTGCATGGAGATCAAGCTATATACAGTGTTTGCGTGAGAGTCCGTGTCCCGTCTGAGATGCTGGTGTGTGTCCGGGTCTCCTCAGGGTTCGGATCCGCTGATGTGCTCTTCACACACACTCCTGTCGTTCGGTCGAGCCTGGATCTCACTGTGTAGATTCCCCTTCAGCTTTCCTGCCTAAACACACACACGCACGCAGACACCATTAGACAAACGGGATGCATCAAGGGCTTGGGATGGGGTGAACGCTGATCATGATTATATTGGCTTTTGGCTTGCTTAGTTGGGGACACTTTATTATTGATCTGCCTGCATTGACACCATTATATGAGAACTGAACTGAGCTGGACGATGACATCACTGTTTTATAACTAAATGAATAACTTTTTTTACTACAGAAATGAACCATCACTGAACTCACCTAAGCTAGACTATGACGCTATTTTCTTCTAGATCTAGCCAAAAACACGCTTTGTTGAATTATTTTCCTGTTGTCTCTGTAAAGCTGCTTTGAAACACTCTGTATTGTAAAAGCGCTGTATAAATAAAAGGGACTTGACTTGATTTGCTGCTATATATAATATATAAATATAATATATAAAATAAATATAATTTGAGATATATAAAAAAATATATCCTGGCTTTTCTCAGCTTTATAATCAGAGTGAATGGAAGATGAGAATTTGAAACCCAAACAAACGCATTCATCCATCATAAAAGACAGCTCTACGAGGGTTAATAAAAGCCTTCTGAAGCGAAGCCATGCGATTGTTTAAGAAAAATATCCAGATTCATAACTTTATCAACTAAAATAACTAGCTTCCGGCAGGCGGCCGTCCGCATCGATTTACGGTGGAAGAGTAACCCCTGACCCGACGCATGACGTAATGACGAACGCAGAAGCGCAGAGGAAAACAAAACACCAGTAATGAATTGGACGTCTAAAACGAGAATTTTTAAAGAGAAATGTGGGAGGAGCACGAGTTTGTGGCCCAGCCCTGTTTGTTTGAACCGCAAGAGGCGTGTAAACTTATGCTAGTCATACATCTACGTCAAGTGTTACTCTCGTGGCATAAGTCGACTTGCATAGGCCGTCTGCCGGAAGCTCGTTATTTTAGTTAAAGTTTGAAATATGAATATTTTTCTTACACAAACACATGGCTTCACTTCAGAAGGCCTTTATTAACCCCGCAGAGCCGTGTGGAGCACTTCAATCATGGATAGATACACTTTTGTGGGCTTTAAAATCTCCTCCCCAATTCACTGCCATTATAAAGCTGGCAAGAGCCCAGACATATTTTTTTTTAAATAACTCGGATTATATTTTTCTGAAAGAAGAAAGGGTAGTAACACCTTATTTGAAGGGGTGTGCATAAGACTGACATGACACTGTCATAAACATGACATAACATTTGTCATGAACATGAAGGAGTCTTTATGAATGTTTATGACTTTTGTCATTAAGTGTGATTCGGTAAATTATGACACTTCTAATGCAAAGTTGACATTGTTTAAAATGTCTTTGTTATGACAACTTGACATTAACAAAGACAAAAATGTCTTAATTATGACAACTTGACATTAACCAAGAAAGAAATGTCTTTGTTATGACAACTTGACATTAACACAGACAGAAATCTATTTGTTATGACAACTTGACATTAACCAAGAAATCAACAGGTCTAATTATCAAACTTAAAGAAGTTATTTAGCTTTGCGTTAAAGGCACTCTATGCAAGATCTGTACCTTAATATAACAGCTTCAAAGTCGTTTTGGTGGTTAACAAAGTCATAGTAGGGCGAATCATCCTGGTAGGAAAGCTTGGGGGGGACGCCGCCGGAAAAACCAGCCATGCAAGTTTGAGAGTGGCGCCCCTGACACAGCGCGTGAGAATCACGAAATGGTTTACGGCAACGACGTCACACGCATCAACAACATCATACTGTATGAAGCTACTTTCGAAAAAGGGAAAGAGAATCGGACCGTGCTAGAAACCGGACAAGAGTCCACTCGGTCGGGCTTTCACTCGTTGGCGCGAGCTTAAAAGCTGCACTGGATTGTAACTGCGATGCTGACCAGGCGATCTTGTTGATGGACTTGTAAGTAAATCTCTTATTTATAAACTTGTTTGTATTTGTATACTAGTTGTTTCTATATTGTATGTTGCTGCACTGGCTTGTGGTATGTAATTTTTTACGGTGCTGTTCATTCATCCGTTGTTGATAATAAGACCAGTTCAATAATTCTCACATGTCTATAGCTTTCGATTACCAGAGCTTTAAGCAGACTTCCTAAAAACAGTCGTTTCTCTTAGTCTTGTTGTTTTTTCCGTTATGTTTTATTGCCGAGCTTGCCACAAGAGCT